TTTCAGGAAGAAGTAGTTTGCCATTGGGGATTCTGGGAGTTGTAGTCCGAATATATATATGAGGCCTATTCCTTTTTTATTTGGGTTGTTCTGCCCCCCCCAGCCTCCCCGCCACTACTCCAGACAGGGACAAGAAGGTTTAAATATCCAAATATTAAATATAGCTAATATTAATTAATTATGCTATTAAGTAATAATGTACTGTTAAGTAAGTATGCAGTCATATCTCAGCCTGTTGTGCTCCTAGGCCCTATAGAGGAAGGGATGACCAGGAAAACTATGTTTCCCACCCTTGGGAAAGGAGCTGAAATCGCTTCCAGTGAGATTGCATTAACAATAACTGCCCTTTGCAGTCCTAGAGCCCTGGGAGTCTCATTGATCTCAGTGACACTTACCTCTGAGTCCAATCCGCACTGCAACAGTAATCCAGTTTGAGACTGCTTTAACTGCCTTGGCCCAATTCTAGGGTATTGTGGGAACTTTGTGAGACACTGAGCTTTCTCTGTCAGAGAGCTCTGGTCCCACACTAAACTACACTTCCCAGGATTTCCTAGCACTGAGCCAGGGTAGTCAAAGTGGTCTCAAACTGGATTATTTCTGCAGTGTGGACTGGGCCTAAAGATTTCACTGTAAATCAGTAAAGGGAATCAGAGCCTCCCCCCTGAAACAGTTGGGAGCAGCCACACTGCAGAAATGATGCAGTTTGACCCCACTTGGTTGCACTTGGAGCATCCACACTGCAGAAATGATGCAGTCTGACACCTACAGACTCCTGGGATGTGTAGTTTGTTGAGGCCCCACCAGCCTTCTTTGGCAGAGAAGGCCAAAGGCCTTGTGAAATGACCAGTCCCTGGATCCCATAGGATAGAGCGACAGCCCTGAAAGTGGTGTCGAACCTGCATTGTTTCTGCAATGTAGATGCACCCTGGGTGTGCTACAACTCTCAGCTTCTGTGCAGAAAGACTTTCCTCATTCTTTCCAAAGAGCATCAAATGCACTGCTTTGGGGTCAACTGCAAGGAATAATTTTCAAGCTAATACATTTAGATCTGGATCACTTGCCTGAACCTTTCTGCTTTGCCAGGAGTCAGAACAGACCAAGGCCAAGTTGTGTGGCTGCATGTCGCCCACAAAGCTTTCCTCTTCGCCCTGGGACCACTACAATTCCCAGACTCCCACAGCATTGAGCCAGGCCAGTTCAAGCAGTCTCAAACCGGATTCTTTCTCCGGTGTGGATGGAACCTGAGACTTGTCTAATGCTAATGCAAGAAGGAAGGCCACCCCTTAGGCTTGCTTTTTAAAAGTGAAAAGTAGGATACCATCCATTTGAAAACTGGCCCAAACCAATAATTGCATTTCTTCAGCTGCATGCTTCTTACTGTGTACCAACACAAACCAAATAGTATTTTCCATATAGTGAAATACTGAACTGGACCTCAAATAGCATTTAAAAACCCCACCAATGCCAACTCTAAAATGAGCATCCTCTACATGGCTGGATGGCCATCTCTTTCTTTCTTTCTTTCTTTCTTTCTTTCTTTCTTTCTTTC